AGAATAAAGCATGAAGTCAGTGATGCTTTCACTTTTCTTCTTTCTTTCTAAATGGATAGGTTGAGACAGTTATACTTTTGTTCTGAACCTTTGCAGTGTGCTGATTGCTCTCATATGGACACTTGACACTCAAAATAAAACCTGAGTTTGTTCAGTTGTAGGGTCATTTCTTTTCTCAAGTATTTTTTTTTTAATTCAATCTGAAATAGATACGTTATTGTGCTTAACAAGGTCTTTGCAACACATGAGTTGGAGAGGGCACGTGAATAATTCAAATATTAGTTTATTTATTCTTCTTTTGGATCAGCGTGTTTGTCACCTCTTGTCATTCCACTCAAGGTATTTCAGTGAGTTTTTAGCTGGTTTTTTTTGCTATTATTTCTTTAAATGTGCACTTGTCATTGAGATGTGTAACAGCAGTTACAGTCAGAATGATAGGACGGTTACACTTGATAGGATTTAAAAATGATGTGTACTTTAAAAAATGGTCTTTGATGCCATGGTGATGGGCACATTACATATACTAGAACTGGCAAACAAATGAAATGTGAGAGAGAACGTAGAGCAGTGTAACCTGAGAGTAATGCAGAGCAACAACCTTTACACTATGTTATACGTAAGGTACATGTCAGAAGTGCTGGATCAATTCATTCCATGCCAAACATGAAGTAGCAGTAGGCTCAGATCTGGTTTAGTGGGAATATTGATATGTGAGAGAGCTTTGGGATGCTGAAGACAGTTTCCTTTAGCGATGGCTGTTAGATAACAGATAACTGGTTTGGAATGAGATTTCTGGAAACTTTTTAAGATAGAGCTTAAAAACTGTATAATTCTTCCTTTGCTCTACCTTTTCCCCCCCCCATCAGCTACTTCTTAACCTTCCTAGAGAAGCCCTTTAAAAGAGCAAACAAGGGTAAAATCTTTAGAGAAGCTGAAGCTACAGAAGCAATCTCCTTTTCTCCTTGATGCCTCTACCACAACAGGAAAGTGGTTTCTGTGCTAGTGACTGGTCCCAGTAAACTCTTTCAAGGAGATGCTCTGTACTGCACACAGGTCCTGACATCTGCTTCCGAGTGCTTGAGAAATGTTAGTGGTAAATCACACATACCAGCAGGTACTTGTGCCTGTTTTACAGCTGCAGAAAGTGAAGCACACAGAGCAAAATATCTCACTAGCACCTGAATAGGATGCAGAAGTCATATTTTCCCATGAGGATTTAGCTGGAAAAAAACTTCAGACAGGATCCTCGTTATGGGATGGTCGTGTGTGTTTTCATTGCCCACTGGATTTACCTCCAGAGTCTCTGTTTGCAGCCAGCTGGAGCATTCCTTGGTCACTCAGGTAGCAGCAGCCCTTTGGGGTATGTATGTCTCCACTTCCCCTGCTCATACAGAACATGAGAACTGTTGTTCATGTTGAATCCATGAATCCAGGCTCCCTTTCGATGGAAACCAGAGCTGCCAACAGATTGCCTGTACACACTGTCCAAATATCCTGTAAAGATATATTTGTGGTTTGCATGTGCACTGTTGTCCAAAGGACTTGGATAAGGTCACGTGGAAAATGTATGGGAGAGCAGAGAACTGGGGCAGAAATCCCACATCTGGGCAGAAGTTCTGATCATTTGACTGTCTTTTTGGTGTTCACTATCAAAGTAGCATACATCTGCAACCTGGGAGGAAGAGATGTCCTTAGCAAGATTTTTCTAACTTAATTTCCATAACACTGGGACTTATATCAAAAGGACTTTGCTGGAAGAACAGTTGTGTATCCTCTGGTTCCCCCTGCAATATGGCTGCAATATGGTGCTACTTACTCTGATTAAATTAATAATTATTCTCCACTGTCCCTGCACTTGCCAGCCATTCCAGTTCACAACCCCACAAAATGTGTGAGCAAAAGCCCCCTCCCCTGACTTGAGCCACTCTGGGGGGGGATTGACTGTGTCAGCACAAGGCTTCTTGTGTGCACAGGCTGGGGTTCTGCTTTGCTAAGTGTCCTATCTCATTCCCCTGCTCGCTGGTATTTCAAAGTGCTATCTAATGCCTTTCAAATTTAAGGAGTTTCAGAGTCTAATCTTCAGATCTGCCCCACTTTCTATTGATCTAGTTCCAGGTTGGTTACCAAGACTATTTTATGGTTCCAGTTCAGATGTGCCCAATTGGATGGAAATTTCACAAGAACATTTGAACTCGTGAGATTACCACAAGTTTCTGCCAACTAATCTAGGAAAGTTTCTACCCTTTGGAGTTGGGAGGGTGCTCTGAAGATGTTAGGGCCTTTGAATTTTAATCCTGGCTTTTAATTTGGCTTGCATGTGAGTTGAAACCATGTCTCCTATTTAGATGTAAGATCATGATGATTAAATTGTTATTCTTGGAATTAAGTAATAATTAAAAGGTGAGGTCTTTGATCTTGAAGAACAGTTTATATTTGATCCTGAGTAAAATAGCCTTTTTTTTCTGAAAACATATTAACTCTTACACCTTTTCCCTGATACAGGTGAAAACAGAGTAAAAGACTTGAAGAAATGCTGCAGAACAAAAAATAATTTGCATTTTTTTGGACATATGCCTTAGTAAAGTTCTTCAGAAAATTAACACTGTAGTTTTCTGCTAAATCTGGGAGTACTGGGAGCAGCCACGTGCATCATTTTTCGAGTAATTTTTCAGCTTTGCTCTTCCTGGCCCCCCTTTCATGGGTGACTGGACTCTGGTAGCAGAGCTGACGTTTTCATTCCCTCAGAACCTGGTTTTCATTTAAATGTGTAAAATTATCTGAGTTGTTTTCCCCTCGATAAGGTTTACAAGTGTCTGTATATCTTTAGTTTTAACAGAGGGCAGTTCAGTAGACAGTTTACGAAGTACTGGTCAGGGAGATAAATTACCTTGTAGAGCTGCACAATCACCATTCACAATCTCCTCAGTGACTTTATAGCCAATGATAGGATTTTTCAAGTTCATAGAAACTCATCAAAACACTTCCTGGTATTTTTTCCTTCTCCATCTAGCTGTTCTCACTTAAAGCATAATCTATACTGCTCCTGCTAGAGAAGTGAGGGTTTGGTTTGATGCCTTAGGGCCTGCTGAACATTTCTTTATTTCTGGCAGCTCCTTGGGATTTGTAAACTGGAAATGGGAACATTTCAGGCAGCTGCAGCACTTGGAGACATTCCTTTCCCAGGGGTCATATCTAACCTTAAACAATGCTTTGTGTGTACCGTGCAGGGTTGCTCTGTAAGGTTATAAT